CATTTGGATTGGTTAAAAAACTGAAGTCCTGTGTACACGTAACCGTTACAAGAATGAAATGGTTTCATTTAAGTATAGTTAAAAGATCAAACATAAAAAGTTTGGTTCTGAGAACTGTTCCAATCTGGAACCCTGCAATGGGGTTGTCTTGGAACAACAAACATTACTGAACTAGTATATGTATGAGCCAGACATGTTTTAAAAATATATCAACAAAAACACAGAAAATAGACAAATCAGTGCATAAAAAAAAATGGCTGACATCAGAGGGATTGTACCTGACAAAGCCTGAATTTGTGGGGGGTTGCGTGGCCAAATGATTAATTGAGTCATGTGGCATGATTTCAATTCCGGGCTTGTGCATGACAAGGAGTAGAGTTGCCTGTCTAACCTCCTGGTTTTGTGGAGGGTTCTCTGGTTTCCTCCCACATAAGACCCCTATTATACACGCAAGCAAATTATTGAAATAAAATTGAACCATATGTTAGTCCTGAAATGATCTAGTTTGTGTCGAGTGGACATTAAAACCCATTTCTCTCTCTTGTTACAAACTGTCTTATTTCCGGGCTTGCTACAGCTAGATGATTCCCGTCTTCATTAGCCCAGGTAGGAGCTGAACAGTAGGACGTTAAACCCCATTTCATTTCATTTGCTACAGATGATGATGCTCATACAAATATTCAAATTATCAAATAGTTTTTCAAGGCTACTGCGAACTGATTTTTTAGTTTGTTATTTGATGTCAATAAAAACTGAAGGAATGTGATCAATGTTTTGTTTCTTATGAAATATTTAATAATAAATGACATGAGATCAGCTGATATGGAAAGAAAAACAAAGAAAGAAAGGAAAATATATATTGATCTGATTTGACAGATTCACAGTTTCTATAAACAGGAAAATGTAATAGAACCGGTCCATAAGAAAATCATCTTAAGGGAGCTAAATTTCTGTTTTTTCTTTGGAACCTACATAGACAATATTTATAAAAGCACATATTAAATATGTAATAGTTAAAAACTATTGATTGGAATGGATTAATAATTTGTGTTTGCAATTTCAAAGACACTAAATAATATTGAAGTACAGATTTACGCCATGTAAAGGGCATATGGCTCTCTTCTTTGGAACCTTAAACGAAAAAAAGTCTAAAAGCACTTATTAATGTAATATGAATGTACATGTATATAAAGTGATTTATATTAAATATTTCAAATCAATTATGTTTGTTAGTCTTTTACTCCTGCTAATTCCATTGTACAATGTTTATTTTATTATTATTTTGTCGTTTGTGAATCAGTCATTACTAATTACTTTTGTATTGTCTAGTAGGATATGTTTTTATTTTGTTCATTACAAATGTTGCCTGAAACCATAGAATGTACAACTCGTGAATTGATTTTAAATTATTCATTACATGCATGATTTAAATATTGGAAATTAGGATCCTATATTTTCACGGCAAGATACCAAAATCTATATTGATTGAAATTGACCCATATTTTAATTTCAAATATTATGGATGATAATTATGAATATCTGAATAGTAAAAACATGAACAATAGTTTTCATGTGTATCAGGTCAGGACTTAAAGGGACAATAACACTCTTGCTGGGTTGACAGCTCCCGAAAATAAAAAAATAGCCTTATTCTAAGTACTAGATGTGATAGTGTCCTACCTGTTGTGTAAATTATCCATTAAATCCTATTTTACTTGTCCAGAGTGTTCAAAAATATTTTTAAATCCAAGTCACATTTGAAAAGCTTTACGTCAGGCTTTTCAAATCATTTAGTTGAATTTTTCCAATTTTTTAAATTAGGTGTGTTAAGATGAAATTTGTATCATCAATTAATTGGAATATTGTAAAATAGTACAATTTATTGACCAGAATAAAGATTGGGATATATTATTCAGTTACAACAAGAGTGGTATTAAGCCTTTAATAAGCATGTGTCATTTCCACTTTTCCCTAAAATACCGAATTATTTTTTCTATGGTCTTAATCAATGCTAATATGTACATGTACTCAGATTGAGTGCATATTAATTAAAGATTCATAAGATATAGATAAAGAGCTAGCCATTCTTGCTATAATAGTTCATAAAAAAATAGATAATACAAAATGAATATATTGAAAATTTCATTCAAATTACTTTATTCTGAGCTAAGATATTAGCCTTTGAAGGTTTGACAAGATGTGTACATTGATTGTAACCACCGGACTGGTTGTTCGGAGCTTAGCCTCGCTTCACCATTTTTAGATTAAATCATTAAATGGCTGAACCGTTCTAGTCTACTTAAAATTGACAGTTGATTATGGTCTTGTCATGTTAATAAATGTCTAATTAATAATTTATTGTAGGTGGGGAGTCAAAAGGTCGTATCTGGATTTTGCGAAATTGCCCAGGAGAGCCAAAAAACACACAGAGGTTAAGAATCAAAACGTCTAATAAAATCGTCACGTCAAAATGTCGTATGTAAAGTGTATGTGTAGCCATTAAAACAATATGTAACTATCCGCACGTATCAAGCTCAACATTTAGTGCAGAAATAAAGAGTGAAAGCTAGTTATTTGCAATTTTATACAGCAAAGACGTATCTCAGGAAAATATTCACCTTTACCTGCTTCAATTTCATAGAATCCACACAGTAGACGCTCAACAATAATTTCTATAATACATATTTAACTATAAAACAATACTGGCTACATTTAGTTTGATTGTAAAACTTTGGTTAGACACTCTTAATATTTTTTTTTTTGGAACACCCCATATACGACATTTTGAAACAATATCTATAAAACATCTTTTTATTGACTTAGAAATATGACAACTAGATGAAAAGATGCACAAAAAAGTCCTCATTCTGAGGAAGCAAAGAAGTGAATTTCGCAAAATATGCCAGATACGACCTTTTGACTCCCCACTGACAGTATATAACATTAAGTCCTTAAGTAAGACCTGCAATAGGCAGATTTAGCTCTTGCATAAAGCCTGTTTAAATAAACAAAATCAAAATACTAACACCAATTAACTTCTACATTGGATTCAATTGGATTCAGAACAGGACTACCATAAAATGGTGGCAATCTTATTACATAGCGGAGCAGCATTGATTCATGAACTTTCAATTCCACTTAATTTTTTAAAAATACTGAACAGAATTGAATCATTTTTGGACTGATAAAACCTACTAGCCACCCAACTTTCACAATATTGTAGTTTGCAAGTGATTCCTGTAGCGTTAACAGAACTTTAAACAATATATTATCTAAGCTTATAGCTATAATAGTAACAATCACCGGGAAAATTAAAAAAAGCTGTTAAAATTTCTAAATATATTTATCTATACAAAATTCCCATCAAAAATAGGGTACTTATATATAGTATAAATGTAAATTGTATTTGTAAGTTGTATATCGTATAAATGCATATTGCATTTTTAAGTTGTTTTATAGCATAGATATTGTATTTACAAGATGTATAGCACAATGTGTATATTTAGTATAAATGTATATTGTATTTGTAAGATGTATAGTACAATGCATATTTTGCATAATGTATATTGTATTTATAAGTAAGATATTATATATAAGAGTATAATGTAAGTTGTTGGAGGACGACATATACAATATTTATAAGATGTTACATATATGTATATTGTATTTGGAGGATGCCGTATAGATCTACATGTATATTGTTTAGCATTATTCATATATTATGTACCTACATGTAATAAACAATATACACATTTAAACTGTAAGGATTATTCATATTCATATGCATGAATGTATACAAACATGATATCATCTGAAGACATCTTTTTGTAAGCGGACATGCATGAATGTATCTGTATAAAGAAGTAAAAGTTGTTGATTATTTTGACTAGATATATTTTATATTTCTTGTATATGATAATACACATTAAAAATACATTGTCTAACATTGTATCTCAGGAGTTCACATAGCTAAAAATATACATTTGTAATATTTGACATGTGTTCACCAAAACATCTTTATTTCAGACATGCTTCAACAAAATCTGACTTAAAGGGACAATAACACTCTTGCTGGGTTGACAGCTCCAGAAAATAAAAAATAGCCTTATTCTAAGTACTAGGTGTGTTAGTGTCCTAACTTTGTGTAAATTATCCATTAAATCCTATTTTACTTTACCAGAGGGTTCAAAAATATCCAAGTAACATTTGAAAAGCTTTACGTCAGGCTTTTCAAATCATTTAGTTGAATTTTTCCAATTTTTGAAATTAGGTGTGTTAAGATGAAATTTGTATCATCAATTAATTGGAATATTGTAAAATAGTACAATTTGTTGACCAGAATAAAGATTGGGACCATTTATTCAGTTACAACAAGAGTGGTATTGAGCCTTTAATAATCTTATTTCAAATAATCAAAAAAAACAAAAAAAAAAACAACCAAAAAACTGCCTCTTTGATGTAGGAGAAAGGCTGAAAGGGTTCATTTAGTAAAATAATGTATAATATGGATATCTTTCAAGATTCGGTTCATTTCAATATTCTTCCAACCATTCCATTGTTAATATTTATTTTTTTTTTTATCTCCAGTTATTAGGAATATAGTTTTTTCAACGAATATTTCATTTTTTTGTATATTATCCCAATTTTTAAAAAATATTTTTAAATTTAATTTTATGCCTTGTAAATTGATGGCAGATATTTTATCCAGCCAGTTAATTTCACTGCCAGTCAAGACTGATGCATATAACTGAGATAAAAGCCCTTGTGCAGATATTATGTCACTGTTGAATTAAATCTTTTTAGGCAACAGAATTTAAATTTGTCAGTAAGACCGATTTTTCTTGATTGAAAATGAACAAACTGTAACTGGCAAGTTTAGCAAAAATATTCAACACAGAAGATAAAAAAAAAATAACCACTTCTGTAGACCCGTCATGAATCTCAGATTGAAGTGTTTTAAGAAATCTGACAGACGCCTAATTAAATTAAATGTTCCTTACCTTGGCAGGAAAAGTAAGTCCGTGTGTGAAAGCGTCTTCGCTGTGTAGTGGAATTCTGCTATCATATCCATCATCAGAAACGAGATCGTATTGTCTTTTGGACGGCATTGTGAAATCGGGTAATCTTAAAATAGGCACTTTGACAAATTAAAAAGTCACAACCAAGAAACGTCTGTCCATGTCTTCAATTCATTGTTCAGTGTTTCACAGATTATATTTATATTGTTCAAAAGACCGAGAGTATAAATTGTACAAACCCATTCACAATGTAAAACTATCTTTTATGCACAATGAATACCTTAAACACACAATTGAAAAACTATGTTTGCTTACACATTTAACAAATTCAATAAGCGAAACTTTAAGCTAGAGGAAATATTTTTTGATGACTAAATTTCCTTGTCCTTTTAAGACTAAGTCAAAAACACTATCTTAGATCTTGGCATAATCAAAAAAACCTTGTTTGACTTCAAAGTTAATGCCAAAAGGTAAAAAAACAGGTAAGTCTTTCAGAAATAAAGAACTAGATTACCCTACTGGCACTGTTAATGAGACAAATCCTGCAATTCACTATCAGTAATAAGGAGAGACTTAACTCTATTGTCAAAACAAATTAACACCTAAATCTCCTGCAATCACACTAAGCTTCTTTTAGTTCCATTTAAATCTGTTCCTGATATAGCGGTAGGTCTGAGAGTCTGAAAGTGACAGGAGGTATCGGTTCCATAAGCCAGAGATGTTCAGAGAATTTAAATTTTAACCAGTTTGTAAGAATCTGTTTTGATAGTTCACAGTTTAGTAAGTCGGTTCCTGATTTGTGGTCGGTCTGAGAGTCACAGCAGACATCGGTTCCACAGGCCAGAGATGTTCAAAGATTATAAATTTGTACTGGTTCGTTGAATCTGTCTATAGTTCACAGTTTAGTAGAAGCCTATGAAGACATGTTTCGGTATTATAATCTAACTGTGACTGACGAGTTCACGAATATCTATCCACCGCCTAGAAGTCAACATGTTTATCAACATTGGCTCCTGTCAGTTGTGTGTACAGGAATTCTCTCGTATCTTGTCGACTTTTCGCCCCATCGCACTTAAAAATCGATGCTCCTACAATCGCTAATTGCTCCAAGCTTTCAGGAACATTCACTTCAACCAAACACCGATCATTAGAAAAGATTCCCTTATTTCACTCACACTCGCTATAACTTTGTGAAAACTTAAAATTCAAGACTCGCTCGCTTCTTCCTTCAAAATCTATTGGGTGTTCACACGCTCTCATTTCCATCACGTGATCTACCCTTTGCCCTGGATGTATATTTCAATGTTTACGTTAAACCGTTAGAGCACGTGGCGCGTGTCGAGATCTCGCTATGTCAAAGCGTATCAATGCGTGTTAATATGTTTGAATGTAATTTACCGTCATATATGAAATAAAACACCGAGTTTTAACTATACATTAAAATATGTAACCAGCCGTATGTTTCCGTTAAACCGTTAGAGCACGTGGCGCGTGTAGTGCTCTAGTAATGTCAAACCGTATCCAGTGCGCGTATATTATGTTTGAATGTAATTTACCGTTACATATCAATTAAAACATCCAGATAGTTAATATGCAAACCAACGGTATGTTTGATCGACCAGGATATTGGCTATATCTTGGATGAATTGTTTCAATGGCATTTAGTAATTGAACAGGAGTATACAGGTCACAATTCTATGGAATACAATTACTGCTTATTACTGAGCGACGTTTCGATTAGGCTTCTCTAGTCATTATCAAACAATGATAAAATTTGAACATATGACAAGACAATATATACATGTACACAACAATACTTAGTTAGTTATAATAACTGAGTATTGTTGTGTAGGCTACATGTATATATTGTCTTGTCATATTTTCAAATTTTATCATTGTTTGATAATGACTAGAGAAGCCTAATAAGCAGTTAGCAGAATTATTGTATTCTGTTCCATAAAATTGTGACCTGTATATATTTTGAATGGTTTTAACAATTATATCATATTTATCTGTGAACGAGTTTAAAGTAGCTAAGTCTCTAACTCAATATCATCCAAAATCTTCAACATTGAAAACACGATTTATTTGTCAAATTAAATCAACATTCATGTTGTGATCTTACTGTAAAAAGATGGGCTTTTGATATCCAATATTTAAGACAAAATAAACATTTTACCATTGGTACACGAATCGTGTACCATAATGCGCTTCAGCCCCAGTTGTATCAAGAGACTCGAGGGACGAGGCTAGACACATTGCACCAAATCAAACGGCGTATGTAGACTGGAATAACCAGACGCTAGAAATTTGCACTCGCTTGAGACTGCTGGCTTATTTCGCCGAACATAACTGATTTGAAATTTGAGTAAAATCGGAAACCATTGAATGTAAATCAGTTTATATACATTCATATTACAGTATTATATGCGTTGCGACCCACTTTTGTCAATTTCTAGGTCCCAAATGTTAGCGATTTAGCTCCTTTAAATTATTGTATTGTAACATTTTCATTTCCTAATAAAATAGAGAATAGAATTGGCTGAGAAGAGGGGAGATGGGAGGGTTGGAGAGGTGAGCAGGCCTCACGAGAGGAGGGGGGGGGGGTGCAGCCGGAGCACCGCTCCCCATAAGAGTTTATGGGGCCATGAATATCAAAGTTCAAAATTGAAATGGGCAATTATGCATGAATTGTTTATTGTTCCTTTGAAGCTTATATACACAAGTTTTCGCTTTATCCCAACTTTAGTTCTAATTACGTGAGAGTGATGAAACTTGGTGTATAGTTTTATTACATCAATACCGTAAGTTCGATAATGAACATTTTCTGTTCAGGATAAGCAGAGCAATAAGCAATTTGATTATCCGAGACTTTGGAACACAATAACTCTCCTTCTAATTGAGCTAGAATGTTCAAACTTGATGTAGGTGTTTATTAGTTCAATGCCTTGATGGAGTTCGAAGATGAGCATATTATTCTGCTTGGGGTAAGCATAGATAAGCAATTTGATTGGTTGATGCTTTGGGACACGATAACTTAAGTTCTAATTAAGTGAGACTGGTGAAATTTGATGTATAGTTTTCTTACAATAATACCTTGACTAAGTTCGATAATGTGCATTTTCTGATCAGGGTAAGCAGAGCGAAAACAATTTAATAGGTCGGGATTTTGGAACTCAATAACCCTCCTTCTAATTGAGCTAGAATGTTTCACACTTGGCGTAGGGGTTTATTAGGTGAAAGTCTTGATGGAGTTCGAAGATGAGAAATTTCTGCTTAGGGTAAGCAGAGATAAGCAATTTTATTGGTTGATGCTTTGGGACACGATAACTTTAGTTCTAATTAAGCGAGAGTGATGAAAATTGGTGTATAGTTTCATTACATCAATACCTTGACTAAGTTCGATAATAAACATTTTCTGCTCTGGGTAATCGGAGCAATAAGCAATTTGATTGATCGAGACATTGGAACACAATAACTCCTAATTGAGGTAACATTTTTATTTCCTAATAGAATATAGAATAGAATGGGAGAGGGGAGGAGAGGTGAGCAGACCTCGCGAGAAGGGGTGCGGCCGGTGCGCCGCCCCAGGACAAAAATAAATATCAAAGTTCAAAACTGAAACGGGCAATTATGCATGATTGCTTTATTGTTCCCTTGAACCTATTATAGTTATGTACACAAGCTTTCGCTTTATCGCAATCTGCTATTGAATAATCTAGATATGATTTATATAGTGCTGATGTACCCGGCCGAAATCCCAAAATAAACAGATGACGCATTGATTAGTTGCATATTTATCTTTTTCAAAAGTATTGAGCAATCAAACTGATTATCTACACTTAGTCTAAGCATAAAATGTTCACAATCAAACTCAGTCAAGGTTTTGAAGTACCCGGTAGTGAATAAAATAAAACCAAGTACGAACAATCCAAACCATTAAACAAAATTCGAAGTCCTAAAAAAACGGTATAGGCAAAATAGTGTAATAAGGCAAAATAGTGTAATCAGCATATGGACTGTTCACCGTGCACTGTTAGAAATTTTTGTAAAATTACAGTAGTACAAGCAGTTTTTGTACATTAATTATCGGTATGTTCACCACAATGTAGTAGTTTTACCAAGTCTGGCGTATTTTAACGGAGTTTCGTGTATGTTTACAGAGTTTCGTGTCTTTTTTTACAATACACGGTGATGAAATCAAAGACACATTCAAAATCAGTAAAAATACATTCTTACATATGTAATATTTCCAAACTGAACTCAAAATAAACAAGCATGCATGTAATTTTACAGATCTTACGTTTATTCACATTATTTTGTAAATTTACTTTTAGGTTAGAAATATAAATAAAATTACAGCAGTTCTCACTATAATAGTTAAAAACTAGATAATGTAATGGGAATATGCTGAAAATTTCTGTCAAATTGATCCTCTCGGAACCGAGATATTAGAGACTGGATGTTAGGCCTAGCCTCGATCATCATTACTTATTAAGTCAGTACGATAAAAAAAAACATAGTCTTGATTATCTATTTTTGAATTTAATCATTAATGAGCGTTGAGCCCCAGATCGGACTCAAATCCAGTGAAAATCCAACACATAAGATGGCATCCATGAGTTGATTATGGTCTTTTCATGTTAATAAATGTCTAATTCATAGTTTATAGAACATATCAGGCCTAAAGAAAGACCTGCAATAGGCAGATTTAGCTCTTGCATAATGTATGTTTAACTTATTGGTAGTTATCGTATTCGGTAAATTTATTGTCTCTTAGCATGCAATTTTAGAGATTTTACGTTTACTCAACTCACATTATTTTGTAAACTTTCAGGTTAGAAATATAAGTAAATTTACAGCAATTAAATTTTTACCAAAAATGTTCGGAATGTTTACCAAAATGATGTATATTTACCAAGTTTCATTCTTTTTTACAATAAACTTTGATGAAACCAAAGGCACATTTAACCCCGGTAAAAATACATGCGTAATATTTCAATATTGAAATGAAAATAGCAAAGCCAGTAGGTAATTTTACAGATTTACGTTTATTCACATTATTTTGTAAATTTACTTATTGGTAAATTTACTGTCTCTTATTTTATTTTAGTATTCCATAGCAACGAACCATTCCTAATAATTATTGTCTTATAGTATTCATTCTAATTTATTAACCATAATATGGAGAATCACATTTTGTGCAATTTGGTATATTGCATGTTATATATATTTAATTTTCTTTTTTTATACGATCTAAAACGTGTATTATTATTCATCGTACGTTGATCAGATTGTAAGTATGTTCATTAACGTATAAAAAAATGTTTTGCTTTCTTATCATAGATTGTATTATCTCGTAACCAAGGTCAATTGAAGACGGTTAATTAAACCGATTGGTCAGTGTTAGCTTGACTGTCTCTAGAGCAGAGTTACAATGCCTGCAGTAGACAGTACCACAAGCTTACATCTAAAATCCTGGAACGGAAGTTAAAATCATTGTGTTTTATTTTAACATTTGTCTGTAATTTTTCATTTACTGCTTTTAGGTAAATTTACATTGGAAAGTCTAAAAACAAACTTACTGTAACCGTTCATTTACTGTGTTGCGGTGAATTTACAGTTCAAAGTTAAAAACAAACTCATGTTATTTTCCATTTACTGTTTTAAGGTAAATTTACTCACAAAGTCAAATTACAGAAACTCTGTAATATTACAGCTGAATGTTTATTTACAGTAAATTTACTGGCAACTTTTGCTGCCAGTAATTTTCATGTAAATTTACCAGATTTTTTCTAACAGTGTACAAAATACACGACAAACAGTGGTAACAGGTGTCCGGAAGAGTAAGCTTACCTTGCCTGGCGCCACACCCGCCATAGCTGCATCCAAACTATTAGACGAAATCTCGGTAAATAGCGCGATTGACCAATGGACTATCGGTATGCAAAATGCACGTGATGAACAGTGTTAACGATGTAGTAGACAGACATTATCAGGGAGATAGTTAGTATACGCGTCAATTAAATATATCTAGAACAATAGCCGAGGGAGACATGTTATATTTACCAATCAAGTCAATATGACGGCCATAAAACATTTTAAAGGTTTTAATAAGTTTAGTTCGCAAGTATCGCTTTAGTTGAAGCTTAGATGACAAATGCCTCGATCTACTTAAAAAATCAGAATAAAAGGAACAAGCTCTCGCGTAAAGAATCAGCT